TGTAAGCAATTCTTATGTGCGGCTAGATAGGCCAACACATTAATATATCAGGTAACTTGTGCAGTGAGCGAGAAACTTCAAAAGTATAAACATTTATGACATGCTGGGTTATCTAGACGCAGTTCAAACTCGTGTTTATACTTACTCTGTTTGCCCTAATTTTCCGTCCTATACACACACTTGGCGATCCACCTTACTTTGTGCACAAAGTGGCCTACTTTGATGCACATTACGTACATTTTATTTAATCATTCTAGTACATTATTTATATTATTGAAGTAGGAATAATGTCTGATGAGCATTAAAATGAATTTTGCTTATTGATGGTGCTAGCCTTCATGGTAACGTAACCACTACTGATTCAAGAACACTAACGTGTGCAGGTATGTTTTGCTCCTTGGATTTTTATGATGAAACGTGGTCACCCATATGATATCGTAAGACTCCTGAGTCATGATAAAGTTCATAACAGCGTGTGATAAACGACATTTTTCCTCCCATGACTTTTTCACAGGATTAAAACAATGAAGTTGACAACTTTATCAATCTAAACTTTTGCCATTATCTACAACCAGTGGTAACGTAAACATACTTAAAACTGCAAAAGACATATGTTAAACACCCCACGGAATTTACTCAAGGCTTAATCACGGCTGCAAAAGGCTACAAAATATTAGCCGGTAATTATGGAAGCTTTCTGCAACCACTATTGCACATGATATATCCGACTTTGGTTAAAAATGGAAAAAACCGCGACAGATTTGGATTTGATGGCAACATTTCCTGTCGGAGAAACCTTAATCTGACAGTCGTCAAAGGAGTAGCAAATTGTGAAGACAGGTTTCAATGCAAAAAATACAATTAATAGTAACACTGTTTGTACAATAGGTAAAAGACAGAGGACAGAAAATGCCAATAAAGAGAAAAAAAATAAACTCTTAACAAAAACCATCGAATTTAAGACTTTAAGCAGAATGCTTACAAAGCAAAACCAAGTGGTTCGGAAGCAGTCACGAAAGCAGCATCAACAAAAACACTATCAAAATGCAGCAACAGCAATAGTTAAGGTGAATTGGTCACTGTGAAGGGGTACAATAGCTGCCATGGTCATAAACTGGAATATATGATCCTCTAATCTTATCAAGTGTCAAATAATAAACGATTAAATAACTTTTAATTTAGCGTTATTTGCATTTTCCAGCTCAAATGAATTATTTTCAAATTAATTGGGTTCCTCCATGCTTCAATGTTAGGACCCATCTGATGGATTCCCAAACCAAGATGAATACGGATGTAGAGTGGACTCCCATTAAGTTATTGGTTGATGATCTGAAGGCGTTCATTTGAACGGAGAATTTGAAAAAGGTACTTTGCGCGCTTTCGAAGAGGTAACGGATGTTTATTTATACGAGGATCCGTCAACAAACATACCCAATGGAAAGGGGAATATTGCTCTAAAACCACGGCAAAATCCAAGCAAAATCTTTCAGATGGATCACATAATTTGTGGAGTTCCGATTTCTGTTGAAGAATGCTTTTCAGCAAACACTTTCGAAGGTACTTCTGTAAGGTAGGTTTGCATGTTGCATGGTTCAACGTTTTTTGTTGTCATCTGACACCAAGGACAGTGTTCCTAACAACGCATTTTCATAGGTCCGTGAAACACTGCCCTGTAAATCGTGTTTTGCTGTGGCACACATAGAAGAGCTTCCGGTCCTCTCAGCCACTGCGTCTACACGCGCATCAGAGGTATGACAGGCTCTGACGGTCACCTGATGCTGGAGTTGGAGAGAACGCGAATTTGACAGCTAAGCGCGGTTCTCTCAATGCAAACAATATGAGGCACCTTAAAGTTAAAGCTATTACTTGAATGTTTGCCAACTAACGGGATTTTTTGGACCCCTTGGCTATCCCGGTTTAGGTTTGTATGGAGTGGCTCCTTTGCAGACTGAGAAAAAGCCGCAGTGGCTTCCTCTTAATGTTACCTTTAATGCTGTTGCACTCAGGTCTGATAAACCAGATGTACTTGTGCGCCTAGGGGCGACTCCGACAACCTCAGCCACCTAGCCCTCTCCCGTCTCCTATCTACTTGCTTCTACGTTGACACTGGACTAAGGTTGGAGAGTGAAACAAAGAGTTACGTCGGTTTAGAGCAAGTCTATTCTCAATATAACCTGGTGAACGTCGCCGTTCCTAAACTACTCTGCGGCGCAGCTCGTCTTAACGTTTGACAATTGCTATTTATTGTATTAGATGTAAGGCAAGCATCCGTAAAT